TATAAAATATAAAAATATATCAAATATTCCATAACTATTGTTGTGGAATACTGCTATTCCAAAGAAGACATTATTTATTAATTTGAAATACGCTATTTCAAAAGTATTTAACACCTTTTTCCGCATTTCAGTGTTCAATTCAATGTACAGTTTCAACCAATTACTTTTTTGAAACTTTAAAATGCGATGTACCTACAGAACAAATATTTATATTAATATCATCGCTTATAGTTTATGGAGTTATCATATATACTATATCGACTTGTAATTCATGAGCAATTGCCTGTTTAGGATTAACGTAGTGTACGATGTACCGCCATAAGTTTAGTCTCTTTGGAACCCGGTGGTACATCGTTACCGGGCAAGGACGGCAAGTCGATGTGCTCGTTATGCAACTCTTCTGGATACGATACGTTCACTTCATATATACGTCCCGTATTACCAGTGTCCGGCAGCAATTGGAGGTCGACCAGAGGGTCTGCTTCTTTATACCACCGAAAGCCACCGTACAGCATGGACTGACTCAAAGCCCAACTGTACAGATTATTATTTATTGTACACTTATGTATGATACTCACAATCTTGATAAACGATTCATGATGCAGACTTTGTTGGATCATAGCCAAGTGTTTTGGTATTGTTTGCTTTGATATAGTTCTTGATGGCTTCCACTAGCCCACCACGTATTCCTCATTTTACCATCAGCAGCCTGTTATAATCATTATAACATTATACGTTATTAAACGTATATTTGCGGCAGGTCATCGATGGACGTGCGGCACTTGCTGGACTTTGTACCGTGGCGTAACACACGCGGTGTTAGTCAGTCAAACTACCATATACATATTGTAAGACGATGGTTGATAAAGGTAGCACAGGTCACGCGGCTCCGTGTATCAAGAAGCGACGCGGGACCGGTCAATATATACAATACACAATCAATGATAAACAACTATTAGATATTAATAAAATAACATGTTATACATAACATATATATTATATTTATCGTCTTCTTTTATGGACTTGGCCGTCAACTTTTTTCGCGCTTAGGCGTCAACCAGGCATTGACCGCTGCCCGGGTATTGCGCTGAACTCCCGGACTGCCCCTCACAAGCACACAGTGTGATAGAGCCGTACAATTGCTCACACGGTGATCCACCGCAACGCATGATGAGACAAACTTCATCATCAATATTAAACTACTTATTGTATTTTGAATTAGGTAGCCGTTTAAAACTGAAATTTTCAGGATTACGCAAAGTTATACAAGAAATTGTTCCTATGCTCCTAATTTTGTATTATCGTAATTTATTATTATATCTACTATAATGTTTATCCAATTGTATGATCGATTGGTAGTAAATATTTTCCACATTTTTTTTTTTTAGCGTTCTATTAAATCTCTCCACAACAGCAGCTTTCATTGTAAAGTAAGTTGAAAAAAAGTTTATATTTATGCTCTTCATGAGTCTATTTGTAAGTTCTTTGGAGATCTATTGAAAAAGACTTTTTCAAATGCCGACTTGACTTTTGTACTAGATTTATTTTTTAAAGCCCATGCATATTTTGTATAAACATCGTTAAAATAAATGTAAAATTTATTTTTTTTGTGGAGTACTTTTTCATATCTACTAAATACTACACTTGCCACAAGTTTTTGCATTACGAACTATAAGTTCATTAGGATCACTCCAATACACGTATTCCTTAGATCTTTTGTTTAAAATTTTGAAGGATAACACACCACTGCCAGTTTTCGGAGAAAACAAGGATTTGATGACATACATATATTTATAGCCTACATTAGTTTTGAATTTTCCATCTCAACCGAAATGTACATCAGTGTAAATTAGTAAAGTTTTATAATCCGATAAATCGATTTTATTGAATGTTCCAACTGCAGGTTTACATTATAATAAAAGTTGATAAAGCTCATAACTTAGTGAGCGTGATTCTAATATACCAAATTTAATAGTTGAAAAATGGTTGGTTAATTTAACCATAGTATTGACCATGATAAACTAATTATCTTCAATGTACTTTGAACCATAAACGAGGTACATTTCTAACGACCATTTTGAAAAATCTTCTTACTGCATGTTGTAGGAAAACGAACGTTTAGGCTTATCGGCATTTTCCGTCTCTATTTTTTTTTCTTCCTAGTGATCCTGGAATAAATAAACTCGATGCAACTGTCGTAAACATAATATTGCGTATGCAAGAGCAAATGATTTATCGGAACGTCATTTGGCTGATTACGAATTAGAAAAACACGCATGGGACTGCGTAAAATCGAACAATGGTCATTTAGAGAAAAAGCTGTTGCGTATGATGTAACAAATACCATGATAGCTAAAAGAAAAATTGGAATGGGCTTTGGTGGTGTAAACCTAGTTTGGAGCACAAAATTTGCCTGAAATGTTTACAAATGTACACACGTTTTTAGTTATTAGGCTTCGCGGTGAAAATGGCAATTGTATGCTATTTTTTGTTAAAATTCTCGATATACTAATCATTATATTTGACCAAAACTTTAATAAAAGAAGCTGTTTTTATGTTTTTTTGACGTATTTTTGATCAAAACACTAAAAACACATTGAACGATCAGTGAAATTTTATTTTAAAAACGATAGCACAGTGGGGTCGCGGCACAGTATGGACGTGGCATAGTTGGGACAAGTATAGATGATATCTGATAGTGATTAAAACTACTATCATAAAAAACGCTTCGATGCAAATCTGTAGATAGTGTTTAATTTTAAGAAGTTGGTAGATTATTTCAAAAACAACAATAACTCTAATTCCCTTAATTTTATCCCGATTATTTATTTGATTTATAATTATTATATATGAATAAATAATAATTTTAGTAATTCACAATTTAGTATGAAATTGATATTCAATAATTTAATACTGTAATTTTCACGGAGATATTATAAAAATAATAAAGTAGTTGTATATTTCTTTACTTTTAACGCATATAAAAAATTAAAGAGCTTGACGCAATACTTTTCAATAAAAAATGTTTGTTACTTATAATAAAGTTATAAGTTTTATACACTAAACTACAAGGAACTTTCATCAGAAACAAAAATGTACTTTTCTAAATCAACTTTTCTCGATGTTTTAAAATATACAATTAAACTTTTTCTATCAATTCTAAGTTTTAATATTATTACTTATCATTAAAAAATAAGTATTTACAAATAAAAAAAATAATTAAGAAAAAACAAAAATTGTTTTAAATTAATTCTGATTTTGATTATTAATATGTTAAAAATAAGGAAAATGACATATTTAACCAATTTTTTTAATCGTTTAAAGTTGATTTTTGTGAATGTTTATAATAAAAAAAAATTTACTTATTTTACCATAACTTTTAGTTCAATTGGCAAGTTTGAAATTGACATCATTAAATAGAAAATTTTATGAGAATTCAAAAAATTGTATCGTTAAGATTAATATGCAGTTAGGAAGTTTTATAATTACTCTTTATAGTAAATCTTATTTTTAATCAATTTAATATCTTCAACTAGATACGAATTGTAGTCATTTGACGTATCTTTGAAAAAAGTAGGTCAAGTTAGAGCAGAGAAAATAAATGATAGTCACAAAATTTGACTTCCCTTTTTTATAGAAGGGTATGATCTGATTTACAAAAAAAGTGTGTCAGATGAAAAGGGTATATAAAAATTATTTTTAAAAAATAATAATATTGATCCATACATTTTTCCAAAAGTTATAGCAATATACATTTAAAATCGACAATTTTTTCAAGGAAATCGTACGTTTTTCTTTAACTTTGATGTCCGTTTTCACCACGAAGACAAGTCCGGAGGTTAAATTTTTTTTTTTCAAAATAAAGTATATTACCTAATATTTAATTTAAGGCATATATAAAAGTTTCAGTCTTTCCGGAACATTTTCAAAAGTTAAGTTGAAAAGGTTCTACTTTCTATGCGCATTTTAAAAGGTTTGCATCCCCCCTGTATATAAGGAAATGGTCCGATTAAAAAAAAATGTATGTTGAATGAAAGAAGTATAAATAAAGTATGTATCATTAAAGAATAAAATTGATTCATGCATTTTTTAAAAAGTTATAGCAACATAATGTTAAAAAATGTAAAATATAACATCAAGAATTTTTTCATGAAAATTGCATATTTTTGCATACGGTAGTCATTTTTACCATGAAGACAAATCTAGAGGTCAAATTTAAAGCCTTAATTTAAGGTATATATACAAATGTCAGTCTTTCCGGAACATTTTCAAAAGGTAATTTTTTGTGAAAAAGTTACCATTTTGAAACCCTTCCTGTGGGCTAGTAAAGAGTCAAATGTTTACGAAAATATATAAAATGATAAGTAAATACCTAAGGTATTTATAAAAAAAAAATTATATTGATTCGATCATTTTTAAAAAAACTTATGGCAATTTTAAGTAAAAAAAAATGAAAAAATGTCGAAAATTATAGATTTTTAAATTTTTAATTTTTGGGGGGATTTTCCTCGATTATGGGGAACGAGGGAATTTTTTTCAATTTTTGAGGGTAATGTCTTTGACTAGATACGATATTTGATCTTTTGACATATTGTTCATCAAAATCGGTCCAACAAGAGCTGAGATTGAGCGTTCCCAGTCACAAAAAAAAAAAACATATCATAGTAAAATTAATACCTTCTTAACTTCGCATCGAAGCTAAAACTCAAATGTTCACAAAATGCTTATTTCAATGTATATAACAAAGTAAAAACTGTTAGTAGTGAAATTTCGGTGATCGAATTTTATTGATCAGCACTAATATATATGCCAAAAAATTTCCCGATATAATAATAATGTATATACAAAAATTTAAATTTATTAAAGCACTGAAAAATATTTAAAATAATAGTTATATATTTATGCACGAATTCAAAAACACCTGAATAAATGTAACACTATTTATCAAATGTTAAAAACTAAAATAAAAAATATAATAGGTTGTAAAAGTACAACTTGTAAATACTTCTACATTAAGTTATAGTATAAGTAGCTCTTGAATATTAATATTTTATTTTAATAAGACAAAAAATGATTCTAATAAAAATTATATCATTAATAAACATTAATTTAACGCTTGGATTATCCTTTAATAATTTGCAGTGTAATTTTTCGAAGTATTGGTTAAATTACTTTAATCATAACAAACAATATTTAAATGAAATCAGTGAGAACATAGAATTGTATGACGTGCATAGTTTATGCAAATATGGCGACGCAATAAAAACTCATGGCGAACTCGTACTAGTAATGTTAGATGTTTTAAGGGAAGCTGATAAAAAATTATATTCGAAGGAATTGATGTCATTAAATTTATACTTAAATAACGTATCCGAGTATGTATATTTTTATGCTAGTAATAATAACGGAATATATAATATGTCTGATCAAATTTTAAGTATTCTTAAAGGTTACATGATATTTCATGATTACTTCTCAGATCAGTTTGAGAATATTTTATTATCTAAATGGTGCCAAAGTGTGATATATGACGAATCATTTATTTATTGTCCTGATTACAACGAATCAGGAGAATATACTCCCGAGAATTTTCAATATGTCGCAAAAAAACTTAAAAACCGATTATTACAAATTGATAAGGAACTAAACGAAAACGACGATAATTTTATAAATTTAAAATTTAGTAGTGTGTATAATATTTTTCAAAAAGCTTTTAAAAGGTCTAAATACTGGGAATTTTTACCGAAAAATATAGTATTTTATGACTTTATGATGAGTAATCGCAAAATTCCCGAAATAGATATAATAATAAGTTCTCAAGATAAACAATATCCAATGTTAATAAATGGAAGAAAAAAATATGTTTTAGATATGATCCGATTTGCACGACTTTCCATAACTTGCCCTGGTAATAGTCGTTTGACCCTTTTTGATATTTTTAGATTTGTCAAATATACATGTTACAGAAAAGAAATACGAATATTTCATACACTAATACTAACTGCAACATTTCGTCCTATTGCTTTACTTTTAAGACTCTTTACCTTAACTCTTAGTTCATCAACTTATGTTTATGATTTTGATAGTGACCAAGAAGAATCGTCGAAATTCTATGAAAATATTATTTCTGTTGGTAAAATAATAATTGAATGTTTTCAAAATTTTGTCAATATGAACCTCTTTGGTGACGGTCCAACAAATTTTTTTTTTACATTATCAAAAAAAACATCGACATGCCTTAGTCATTTTATTCACAAAAATAAAACAGATCTTACATTATCATCTATCGATTTCAAAAATTCATTAGAATCATTTTTTTATAATAACAAAATTGAAATGTATGTGTTAAATGCATACTTCGAAAAGAATTTTATTGATGATTGCTTTAATAAATTGGTTGTGAATCTGCAAGAAGTACAAGAATATCTAACAGAATTAGAAAAACATAAAAAATTGTTTGAAGTCACCAAAAATACATTTAATATTACTCATATATTAAATGTAGAACATACATTTATTTTTAATACACGTATAATAGGTAAGTTTTTAGTAAATATTAGTTTTAAGTTAATTTAATTATTATAAAACATAGTATGAAAATTTTAGAAAATTTAATTTTAGTGACACTTTTTAAGAATTTTAACATTTTATTACTTACATATTCATATTAATTTCCAACAGAATAAAAAAATGATGTGGAGTTCTTTGTCATTAAAAATACTTTTAATATTAATCATAAGTTAGATATACAATAAACGTATATTTCGTATATTTATAAACGCATATAAAAATAATTGGCAGGTTTTATTATTAGTTTAATTTAATTATTTATAAACATTGTGTTGAAAATTTAAAAAAAATTAATTTAGCGGACTCTTTTGAGAAATCACTGAATATATTTATTTTCTTAAAATATTGTATTATTTACCTTAAAATTTAATTTTAAATAACTATGTAATTGATTATTTAGAACTAATAGCAAATATTAATAAATATTTATCAAAAAATAAATAAATAATGAAACAATTACTGGTCAACCTACTATATTTTAATACCCGCTTAACAATTCATTACTAATACTTCTATATTCATAGGGTTTTTATTTTAATTACTTGATTTTTTTTTTTTTTTACAACCGTTAGGTTGGTTAATAGCATTGGTATATCCTGGGGAAATTTAAGTGCAGTGATTTCCCATTGCCTTCTTACCTTCTTGCACAATTACTTGATAGTTTAATTAATATTATATATTGCACATTTTCATATAATAATTAATAATTTAACTAAACATTTTTTACATATATTAATTTTTCAAAAATTATTAAAACTCTTATATATTAAAATTAGAATTAATTTTTTAATTTCTGAAATACTGTTATATAGTAAATCACTTTTATTTTTAGAAGAGTTATGTCAAAATGAAGATATTTATACATTTTTATATAAATTAAATGACAATAAGGTCACTCGAATCGGTGATATCAAGGAAAAAAGTATAGCTGATAATGATGAAAATATAAGCAAAAATAATATGAGACATAATAATCAGATAAAAAAATATATTAGTAAAATTTATCTCTTTCCTAAATATTTAATAGATTACATATTGTATATAAGACTGTAATTATTAACACATGCACTAAATATCTAATGTACAATATCTAATTCAATATCTTTTTATCCAATTAACATTTTACGATACTTTAATTTTTAAATAATTTGTATCAAATTTAACATTATAAAATAGACACTATATATTTTAACATAAAATAACATAAGTTATTTTTAATTTTTAAATTTATAAGTACTTTGATTGTTAATATAATCACAGTTATTAGTTTTTTCAAACATTAAATCGTGTTAGATCATATCAAATATAATTTTACTGATTAGTATTGTTATTATTTATTTTGCTTAAACTGAATTAAATTTATTGTATGGTTTATAAGTTTTTTATTAATATTAAAATTTATTAAATAAAATGAAGTTACAAATCCATTGTTTTCCTTCCACTAACATTATTTATGTTAGAAAGTTGTTGAATTTATTAAATAATTGTTCTTGAATTTTAATTTATCAATAAATTAGTCTAAACATGATGATTATTTGGGTAGTTTTGCTTATTTTTTATTTATTACAATTATGCTTTTACAGTTTTTTCTACTTTTCTTGCTTATTTTTTACATTAAAATACAATTTATAACAATGACATTAAAAAATTCTGATTTATTTTATTATTGGACATTTACGAAAGAACAAACTAAAATTACTTCCATCATACACGTATTTTTTTTTTTTTTTTTTTTTTTTTTTTTTT